GCTGTATGGGTACAATGAAAAGCTGATCTCTCACGTAATGGATTCTTTATTTGTCGATTTTGACGCTGCTGTTCCAATCTCGATAAATTTTCTGCGTCAGTTTCTTGACGCCTAAGTAAAATTGTATTTATTAAATACATTTGAAGTTTTTCTTCCAATTCACCCTCTTGCGACTTTTGACATGCTTAAAATTGTTGTGACCCCTAAAAGCTGTTTTCTGTCAACTTTGTTAAGTTCAAATATATTTTTTGGCGAGGTAGTTAAACGTCCGATAACTCTTGAAATGACAGAAGAGCTTTTTAAGTAAACTCTTCCTTGACTTCAGTTAACAGCAATTGTGACTGCCTGGATATCTCAGGGTGATCTTCTCTGGCCTGCTGTTGAAGACCTAGACTGATCGGGAGAAAAATTACCAAGTCCGAAGCTTTGGAGCTAGTTGAAGTGCTCTTTTCCAACGTCTCCCGGTATAACGTCGAAGACATTGGTGTCTAAAGCACCTTTTTTATTTGCAGATTCAGTTGTTTTGGTGATCTTGGATGGGGAGATTGGTTAGTGATACTTGTCCAGTGAAGGCTATCCCGTTGGCTCAAGTTTTTTTTCCTTCATAGCTGTTTTAGGTTTGCCCAGCGCAGACCTTGAAGAGGATCAGTGATTCCTGGTTGAATGCTTAGAGTCAAGAGGTTAATACATGTAGGGTCGTCGGTCACCGGGTTTTCCAGCCTTGTGAAGAACAACTCCGCAGGTGACGTCTGCCAGTGAATGGCTGACTTGGTTTAATAGTGCCCGTCTTTAGTTAATATAGTCTTCTAGTCGACGAATCGCTTCCGGACATGGTAGTAAAAATTTATTTGTTGGCAAGGTAGTTTCAACTTAGGTGGCCCCTAAAAAGAACCGATGAAATTGATGGTTAAGTAGGGAACGTAAATACTTATAATGGCCCTAAAAAGCGCCAGTGGTGAAACTTCCAGGCTATTCTTTATTATTATTCCTGATGATGAAGAGCTGGCTACGGGTAGCTTGATTCTTACCCTGGGAGTCTCGATGTACGAAGACTGTGATGGAGGGAGGTACGCCGCTGACCAAAGAATATCTTGTCTTCAGGTCATTCCCTGGATAACCTACCGCTCATCGTTAGACGGAAACATGTGGGTAAGCGCATTAGGAACGCGACGACTAAGAAGGTAGCCGTTGTGGCTGCCCGTGCCCCTCAGAGCTGTTTTCCCTGGCTTACATTAGTAGCAAAAATTCTCTGACTGCACCAGGCGGGATGGTGGGACTGCCACACAACTCTGAAAAGTTGGTGCAGATTGTGCTCTGGCTAGATATGTCTGCTGGTATTATGCCAGAGACGTCATCAGTTGGAATGAATTTTTTTTATTGCACTTGTTGAGATTCAGGGTAAATGGAAACCTAGGTTCCTTCCCCCTTACAGAAGAGTGTCGTCTGTAACCGGGTGTTACGTCGGCGCAACGTACTATTCGAGCCTAAGCTTTCACTTAATAGCTCGGGACTCACACTGGGCGCGTAGGTGGGACGCGGGTTTAAAGGGGTAGTTTAACTTAACGACGCGGTACTCGAAAAAGGGCTACGACTGCTTTCACACGACTAAGACCGAGTGCTGTGCAATATTCCGATGCACTTGCTCGCGGCTCTCTTTTACCAGGAGCGGTTTATATCTCGTTCGCGATCTAAAAACTGTTAGCACCGTCACGAGTAAGGGTATCGTACGTGAAAGAGGCGTGTTAACTCGCGATTTGACTTTGACACCCTAATATCGTGGTGAGTACTTGCTTTTATCCGATCGGTCCTTGTTATTCTGATGATATTACTACCGCGAAGAGCAATGGTATACGCGCGGCTAATTTAATATTTCCGGTGACCGACGGGTGCCAATAATAAAACGAGTAATGGCGTTCGCCAAAAACACTTTAAATTTCCCGGTGATCCACGGGTACCAATACTAGACGAGTAATGGCGTTCGTGCAAAAAATCATACACTTTATATTTCCCCGTGATCCACGGGTACCAATACTAGACGAGTAATGGTGTTCGCGAAAAAAAACACCTTATATTTCCTGGTGATCCACGGGTACCAATACTAGACGAGTAATGGCATTTGCGCTAAAAAGAAACAGTTGATAGGAAGAAAGAAACTTTAGAAATTTAGTAACTTGCCACTTACTTTTATTTAAAAGGTAAAAATTGGTACAGGCGTTGAACCAGCGTAGACAGAAACCGCGCTCGAAGAAGATCAAGTGGCAGTAGAGGCGGACTCTGGTTACCAGTTAATCGTTCGAGGGTGACAACAAAATTCGACTGTGTCCTTGCTTCGTAGTAGGTTAGGTTGTAGCAGAGGCGGACTCTCACGACTTAGTCTACTTTGAATGGTGTCGTCGAATGTCGCGTGCCGAACTGAACTGACTATACCTCGCTTCGCAGTAGACTGGGTTGTAGCAAAGGCGGACTCTTACTACTCAGTCCAATTTGAAGGGCTATCGTCGAGCCTAGTCGAGTCGAGTCGAACTCCGAACTACAAATTGCGAACTGATTTTCCTCTGGGCCTACGGGCCTTTTTATTGCGAGAAGCGGACCTCGGTCACGCGCTGGCTCGAAAAACGCAGGAAAACTTGCCGGGGGAAAATTTTGAAGAAAAGACAATAGCCGAAAATCTAATTGGCTAGAACTGCTCTAATTTAGCCACTCAGAAATTGGCATATTCCACATCCGGCTTTTTCTCCTCTGTGCGTCAAGAGAAGGGAAGGTGATTCACTTACTCATGCCCTTCCTTTCTCTTTTACATCAAAAGTTGACAGAATTTCAATATATTTTAACCTTAACATNTTTTGCAAAACTTTAAGCTCATTTATTGCTATTGTTATTAAATTTTTTAAGATAAAAACTATACTAAAACCATCTAGGAAGTATGATGAATCAGTGTGCAAAATTTCAGCACAATCGGTTCAGAAGTTTTTGCGGTTAGTGATTACAACGATTTAAGCGACTTTGCTGTATATATTAGTAAGATTATAACGCAAGCACTTATTACCACACAGCCTAGGATCCTGAGAAATTATTTTATTTATTGATAAAATAAATAAAACAATAACGCAAGCTCCAATCACCACACAACTTAAAGTTAAAAGTAGTCNAATTCGTTACTTTATTATTGCTTGCCTTCATTTCTTTTCTCATGTTAAATATAATAATTAGTAATATTTTATTAGGATATCTGTTGCCTAATTTTAGATAAAGCTATCTGTGTCTCGTATTAGAAACGTGTGATAAACAATTTTTCCGCAACTACATGATTATGTCAAATATTTTATACAAATGAAATCGGAAAGAAATTAAGCAGTATTCTCTGCTAGAGAACTTATCAATACACGCTATAAAGCTTTACCATTTCATGGGAGTTTATTTATTGCATGAAATTGTGTATACAAATGACATGATACGGTTATATGTATATATCAACAACATAAAAAATATGAAATGCTTTTCGTAGTTTTTATTATTTATTTGAAACTTTAAAAAGATGAAATCATAAAATACCATTAGAATATTATTCTTCTAACTAAAGTTATATTTCTCTACTTGGTTCATTTTTGTATGGACTTTTGACGGTACAGTTCTAATCAGCTAATGGCTTAACCTTACAAGGAATGTAGATAGTTAATGTACCGTCCGAAACTAAGGTTATTTTAGCATCATTGAAGTGGTAGGTTTCAGAGACGGGAAACGTCTTTGACAAATTGCTATAGACGTTACCGTGCTCATCTTGCATATTTTTATGTATACCCTCGACTACGATTAATTTGTCTTCGACCTATAGTTGAAACAAAATTTATTGAGTATATTTTCTGCTTTTCTTATTATGTTATTTTTATCAATAATTTTTTTTGTTCTTTTATCTATCATTCAAATTATATGTATGACAAATAAAACTAAACGATACTTACGAATACGTAAATTTCTTCCAAAGCAAATCCTGTGCAGTCTACCTCTTTATAAAAATCTTCCTACAAAAATTATCGACCATTAAATTACATAGAGTTTATTTAAAAAACCAGAATGTGGGACTAGGAGTCCCTCGGTTTCTCGTTGGTTACGGTGGTATGTTTAAGTCTTTCCTGTACATTTTTTATAGATAAAAGGCTCAACAAATTTTTAAAAATAATTTTTAAGGTTATTGTTAGGCAAAAAAAAAGAAATAAATTCTACATATTTGTAACAATTCTGGAAATATGTTTCAATTTTCTCACTAATTTTCCATTTTGATTTCATGAAAAAATATTTAAAGGCCGGATATTTTAGGTAATGTCTTTACATAACTCAACGCCTATTTCTTTGTGTGTCACGATGTTATTTTCCCCAAAAGAAATCCGTAAAACTCGATATTTTTGATTTATCTTATTTCTTTTTTGAGATTTAGCGTATTTTTCAATATTGGTTGGTTATACTATTTTATAATTACTGATTTTATCAATACTGACATTCTACATCAATCTGCCATTTATGCAGATCCCTGCGATGGCTGGCTCTCTTCTTCTCTCTCTCTCTATCTTTGTTACGCCTACCCTTTGTAAAAGTGCGCCTCCTCTCGAAAAGTGCACGATTTTTCTTACACTTTTTGCATGATGGGTCTCCGTTCCCATTGGTCAGAGTGAGCCAGACTTCTCTAGCCGCTCGAAGAGTGCGGAACTGTAACTAAGATACTTTGAATAAACTTGATCTCACACATCTTACATCAAGCCTCAGTTACTGCATCCAATACCTTGACTAATTCCCACAAACGTACGACCTTAACGCCATCTCCCTCATGGGTATGGTACTAACGTTGAAAGTGAAAACAAATCTAGTCTAGGCCTAAGGCCTAAGCCTAAGCCTAACCTAACCCGACCTTCTATACATCAAGGGATGTGTTGGTGTTATGTTTCTGTATTCCCTGGCGGAATATAATCATAAGTCGGCAACAATTGAAGGTTTGAACAGAATTTTGGAGCAGCATTTTCACACTTGGTGCTGTTCAAAAATTTTTACTTAAAAATGAATTACTCAGTACATAAAACGTGTGTACAGCTTTTGAGGTGCTACGGCACAAACAAGTTTTTCGATTTAACGAAAAATCATTGGCTACACCCACCAAGAAATACATCGGCAATGTTAACAAGTCGAACAGTCATAGCAAGACCAAAAGAGTTTGACGAACTGAAAGAAAAAGCAAAGAAAAGAAAGGAAAAAAGAGACGCTGGCTTTGACGATAGTGAGAATGTTGGCCTATATGGTTATTTTTTACTGGTATAACATATCCCTCCAATTCCTGTTCGTAACAATTGCGTGCCAAAGTTGAATTACCCTACTTTCTAATTTAGTCCATACCTGTGATAACATTTGGACTCGGTACATGGCAAGTTGGTAGAAGACAATGGAAATTAGACCTCTTGAAAGATCTTCAAGATAGGTTGTCCAAGGAACCAATCGAAATGCCAGAGAAGTAAAATTTTTTATATAATACTTTTCAATATTTCAAAATAAAATGATTGTTTGACACTCAGGTGCTTACGTTTATATTTATAGTCAAGCAAAAACATAATTGAAACACACTATTGCCATGTAAAGTATATTGATTGATATTTCTAAGTATTCATTTTTTTTGATAGCTTGGATGACTTGAAGAGACTGGAATATTCCCCTATAAAGGTAAGGGGTGAATTTTTATACGATAAGGAATTCCTTGTTGGTCCAAGAAGTTTGATCATTGATGGACGTGGAGCCACTGAGGGCAAAGGAAATTTAATATCAAACAGTTCAACAAGTCGAGGATATAATGTGATTACTCCGTTTAAATTAGATGATAGAGAGTAAGTATTGTTTTAGAATGTGCAAGTTGCATGTAACGTTAGCTAAGATACTGATTTATATTTATTTCCTAGTTTGGTTATACTTGTAAATAGAGGATGGTTACCGCATAAATATAAACATCCTGAAGAGCTTAAAAAAACTCACATCGAAGGAACGCTAGAAATAAGTGGAATTAACAGGCTTAATGAAGTACGACCTCAGTTTACTTTTAAAAATGATCCTGAGAAAGGGATTTGGCATTACAAGTTGGTTCCTATGTCTGTCATTAAGTAAACAGTTGATTTATTTCATATAACACTCAATAACATTTTTACAGAGACCTGGAGCAAATGTCAAATTATGCAGATACTGCACCAATTTTTTTGGATATGATTGAATCATTTCCTGATCAAGATATGCCAATAGGTTCGCAAACTCGAGTCAATTTGAGAAATGAACACTTAAGTTATATAGTCACATGGTTTGGTTTGTCAGGTTTAACTGGATATTATTGGTATAGGATGTTTATACTAAAAAGGCCCATTTTTTAATCATCATGTATATAAAGTAATTTGTACTATAGTTGTCTTTAAAAGTTATTATTATTAATAATTAATTTCATATTTTGTACANAGTTATTATTATTTATAATTAATTTCATATTTTGTACAATTTTATATAATATAAATAAATATGATGTTATCTAAGAGATACATCGATCTTATTTTATAATATAGTTTTAACAGTATATAAAATTATATGTACACTAATAAAAAACATAAAATTCATAATTCATGGCTTTCAGACTTGATAATTACGAAGTTAAATATTTCCTTCCGTAAAATTGGGCTTTTTTCTCAAAACCAACAGACTTAATGGGAGTGTTTGGTTTGTAAAATGGATTCATCGAATACTGAAATGTAATGCAATTAATAACGTATCAAAATCAAGTACAAAAAAACAAATGCGTGTGGATAAATTATTACCTTAATGTACGTTTCATACATTTCGTTGAAAAAATTTTTAATGCCATCGTCATTTTTGACATCGTGAACCATGATAAAGCGTATGTGAGTGGCTGTTACAAAAGCACTGACAAACCACTGATTGAATTTGTCAACAACCTTCAGATGCATGTTTGTAGTCTTCCATACGTGCTCATCCACCAAATCAAGCGCTGCGTGTGCTATGAATTGACTCAAATGCGAGTGATCTTCTTTCTATTGTCAAAATGAAAAACATACCGTACAAACATTTTCTCTGATTTTGAAGGCTACATGCCTCATGTCATTATATACTTAAGTATGTTTAAGTATCGTTTTCTACACCATATTAGTTTAGAAAAAAAAACTTTATCAAAGACGAAATGGTATATAGACTTAATAAACAATTGTACATACCTTGGTATCTTTGCTAGAATTATTGAATTCAATCTCAAACAATGGATTATCCGCGTGGCCGACAATGGCAAAGTAATAACTCGACGTCATGTTGTTTTTTTAAATTTTTTATCAACACAAAGAGCGCAAGGCTTATTGTTCAATCCAGAAGTTAATCAACATCATAAATGAAAAACAATGAACCTAACCACAATCAACCGTCAACAAAAATATTAAGGGACACTTTCAAGCAATTTATATTTGCAGAATTTGTTAAGGTGCGTTTACATTTAAAATTTTCGTTCAGTCAATCACTGCGCGCTGCCGCGCTGCTGTGTGTCCCATCATACATCATATATACTTAATCAGGTCCCAAACCAAACCAGCAGAACACCATGCAGTCAACTCTCCACAGAGCAGAAGCCTGCAGAGAGAGAAGAGAGGGTTCAATGTTTGACTTTCATCTTCATGTATATGCATGTGCTTGTAAACTGTATATAAGTACTGTATATAACATTTGCAGAATTAATTCTGTCGCATTGATCAATTGATCTCCGGAAATACTATATGTTCCTCCAATAAGTTCAGTGTGTTAGTGTGTACTTATACCGTGCCACTTTTGATTAGAAATATCCTTTAATGCCCTTATCTATACCTATATATTTACATACTCCGAAAGTGCTCTATCTCTATAGATGTTAAGCTCTCTGTTTGTTGTGTCGTTGTGTGTAACCTGAGAGAGTGTATTGTGCGTGTGTGTGGTGGACACAACTGGACAAGAGAGAGCAGTTGAGTGAATAATGGTTATGATCGCGCTTGCTGGTGGCGTATGCCCAGGCTCGCAGCAGACCCCGAGGAGTCTGAGAATCCGCGCGATGTCCAGCTACAACAGCGGCCGGAGTTAGCTACCGCCTCTTCGCGCGCTTTAGTTGCGCTGCAAGTTGGTGGTGGTAGCCCAGGTGGTGCAGTGTGTGCAACTGTTATTGTTGTTGTAGTTGTTGTTACAGCCGAAGCCGGCGGCTGCTGCTGTTTGTTATTGTTGTTGTTGTTCGTATGAAGACGCGAGCGCACTGTTGAATCATTAAGCCCAGAAGACGACGTTCTTGGCGAGGTGTCGTTCGCTCGGCCAGAGAGAAACGAGATGAACGCGACGAGCTTGTACGTGTCGACCTGTCGGCTGATCCTGCAGGCCGAGGCCGAGGACCCGAACTCCTGGACGGATCTGTACAGGCTCGTGCCCTACCTGCGCCAGAGTCTCAGCTGCACCGTGTGCTCGAGCCTCCTGATCGAGCCGCACACACCCACCGAGACCAACTGCCAGCACCATGTGTGCCGAGCCTGCCGGGGTGGCCGCAAAAAGCTCAAACCCTCCTGCGGCTGGTGCAAGGACTACGACAAGTACATTGAGAACATACAACTCCGGATACTCCTGCAGTGCTACAAGAAACTCTGCGAGTACCTCACCAACACGGCCATCTACGGCTGTCTGTTGCGAGCGGTGGCCTGCAACAATGCGAGCAACGGTATGCCCCGTTCCGGGGCCAGTGCCCTCACCGAGCTAATCAACGAGGGAGCCGGCTTCAAGGATGAGTTCAAGAGTAACGCCGGTCTCTCCAAGTCGGCCTACAGCATACTGCCTTGCGTCTATGCCACCACGACCACCTCTACACAGACCGGGACCAGCACCACCAGCAGCAGTAATCTGGTCCTGCCTCAGACTGATCCTCTGGCAACCTCTGAGGCGCCTGCCGCTGCCATCAAGACTGTCTCTAATGGCTCGTCCATTTACTCGGTCATGTATGCCGGTACCGGCAATAAGATCACCATTAAGAGGAAGGCTGCTGCCACCGACGAGAGCGAGGCTGTGCTCCAACCGGATTTGGACATTCAGCAGCAACAGCAGCAGCATCAACAAATGTCACAGTTGACCCAGGCACAGCCTGTCGGCGTCGTCAAGTGTATTCCTGCTTCCCAGTTGACTTACATGCCCTGTGAGCCCATCAAAAAATCATCAAAGAGCAACAAGGTAAGCCCTTCCTTTTTTTTTTTTTCACATTTGTTGGTAGAATGATACCGTTTTCTTGTGAACATAAGTGTTCATTCATAGATTAAACATGTGATAATATTTTTAGAAGCCAAGGTCCAGTTCAAGTCGGAGTAAAAGAAAAGGTTGTAGATGTGGCAATGCCACCGCTGTACCGGGAAAGTTGACATGTTGCGGTCAAAGATGCCCTTGCTACGTCGAGAGCAAACCTTGCCTTGAGTGCAGGTGTCGAGGATGTCGAAATCCACATACACGCGATGGTTTTAAGGTAGGTTTTTTTCATATGCAATACGATTTCGTGGTTAATCATGATAAATTATATTTTTTGACTCGAGTATTTTAAAAAACAAAGTATAAAAATTACTTTCAGATTCGCCCTCATATTCCTGAACTACATAATTTGCAACTGCAACTGTCCAGTCCCCTGGACTGTGATGCCGATCCGTTAGGATCAGTGCAACAGTGTCTGTCGGTCTCTCCTCCGACAATCCAAGTGCTTAATGTTTACTCAACGCCCAGGCTTGAGATAGACAACGTGTCGCCAAATGTGCCGGCAGCTCTTCTCGTTGGCGAAGATGTGTTGGCAAGTACCGAAAGCGAGGCTGACGACAGTGACATTCAAATAGACGTATGACAACAAATGTGAGTGTTCCTTTGAGAACACTATGTGTTGAGTGACTTGACATTCAAAAATGAGTACAAACACTTGCAGATAATTGTTATTGCGAGTTTTAAGTATCAAACTAAGTGAATCAAATTAAACAAAAAGAACGAAGTTGACAAACTACAGTATTCCAAATGCTTTTTCCACAGTAGTGCATGAAAAGGAACTACCACGACTTTCTTTTACGTAATTAGAGTTTATGAGAATTCAGTTTTTTAATCCGTGATTAATGTCAATCTTGCTTTTCATAAGCACCTTTCTATCAATTTTCGAATTTTCCAATTGCCTGTTAAAAGTGTCAAAATATTGTGGTCAGTATGGTCACTTTCTTCAAAATCGTTTGTATGGCAATACAAACTGTTAAAAGGTTGGAGGAATCGGACAGAGCTGTATATATATATTGATTGTTTGGTCCCTTTTGCATGCTGTACATGAGCTTGTTTTCAAGCGTATAATTGATGTATTGATCATGAAGATCTGTAATTTTTTTTTTATTGTTAAAAAATAGTGTGAAGTGTTGAGAAAATAATTAGAAAGTTTTTTACTTTACTTATACTGATGCGACATAACAAAGTCTTCGTTTCGCCGTACACTTCATAGCTGTTGTAAATATGGTTATATTTAACAATTCTAATTTTATCGAAAATGTATGCAATGCTACCTTATCAAAGACTTTTTAGAAGATATTTAAATATTAAGGTCGTTAAAAAACTTTGTCAAGGACAAAAATGTAAAACAAAAAAAGAAACGGTTTAACGTCACAAATCGATTTGACCTGAGAAGGTATTTTAAAAAAAGGTGATTTCTTTTGGAGGAACTAGTACAAAATTATTTTGATGCGTAGAGATTTGATAGAGAGGAAAGAAAGGAAGGGGTCGAATCTTTGTTGACATAATTTACTGTTTCAATGAAATCTGTATTTATAAACATATTTGAATAATGGAGATCAAGCAGAATAAAACTATTTTACATACAAATCTTTTTTTTACCAATTCCATGAAAAAAAAAAAAAAAGAAAAAGAAATGATAATAAAGACGATTTGCATGTTTGTCAAGAAGGATAATGGAGGCTCACATGATGAAAAAAATCAAAATAGTACGCTGTAGACTGGTTTTAATAATATTTTTATTACAATTAGAATGTGATCAGTCATCGTTTTATAAACGGTATTCGTGTATAGTAATTTCATTGATTGATATTGTGAATGCGCATATATAAAATTACAACATTTTTTCAACGATTTTTAAAACAGACAGTCTTTCATGTTGATATGAATTAATTTTATCAAGAACCAACATGGTCATCATCGAAATCCACTTCTCTTAGTATGGACACCTCATTTTGTAACTAATGATCATGTATAATTTTAATGACTGATACTCTTGTATTGCTTTTTGTGAATCGTGCTAAATAATTTTTACTAAAACATAAAGGTAAATTTTTTTATATAATGTAATCTAACCACCTTGGAAAACACAGATCGTTTTTTTTTTCTTCTGTCAATGCGATAAAAAATGAAATCTCAATGAAAGATGCTTCGTTCATTTCAATAAATGACCGCAGGTAAAGCCAACTCCTACGAAATTCAAAAACGAACAAACGAATTTTTCTAAATAAAGAACTTTAACGTTACATCAAAAATGTGTATTCATTTATTTCCTGCTATATATCTTTGCGCACGCGACTTCGACAGAAACACACCTACTTTGTATCTTTGTCGATCTGCATTCTGCACAATTACAGTTGTGTGGTACGGTTATAATATAATTTATCACATTGCACTTACCACTTACGATCAAAATAAAATGTGGGCCGTTGGATATTTCGATGGTAAATTCATAGTGATGTGTCGAGCCAAGAATTCCCAGCCCAAGGATTTTGCGAGGTCGATGAGCTTGTCATCTATGTCCCTCACTGGTTTGTCTTCGTAATACCGAATCAACAATTTTATGTACCTGCCGTTGTGTTTGTTGACGTGAGCGTGCCACAACGAAAGAATAATCACCTGCGATTGATAATTAAAAATATATGTAAATCAATAAACTGCACTACAGCCCATCACCACTTCAACTACATGTGTGCGCTCTCACCTTACTGTCCGTCGGTTCAGCGAACTTGAGGACGTTCCTCCACGTGTTGTCGACGTTATCGAAGAGGGCCTTGGTCTCCTCCGCGTCGTTCTTTTTGGCGCTGTGGACGTAGAGGCGAGCTAGTGCAACGCCTTTTTTCACGAGGGCCTCGATCAGGCACTGCTTTTGTTTGTCCATGGCCACCTTGATTTTGGCGGCATCGGGTCTCTGATCGTTTTTGGCGCCGTAGTAGGCGAGCAGTTTGTCCTGGTCGATGGACTTGATCACCTCGTCGGCGATGTTGACCATCTGCCCGGAGAAGTTGATCACGTTTTCGGCCAGATCGTCGTGGGGCACGAGCCGAGGCGCGTCCGCCGAGTCCAAGGAAGACAGCATGGCTATGTGCACTGGCAGATGCTCCGGGTAGTCGAGCTTGAGGTCGTTGTACAGTTCACGCGTCGTTTCGGTGGGCTCTGCGGTTTATTTTATTTTATTTTTTTAATTCATTCTTACTTTGTACAAAGTTTTCACGGAGATCGTCATGCATTTTGTTTTCACTATAATTTTGGTGAGTTTAAACAAGCAAAGGGAACTTTTAACACTAGAAAATTTTGTTTTGTGGGTTGGTTTTAGACCCAAAATATATAATTTAGAACTTTAAAGAGTTCGTGCTCTCTTGGCTTCTCTTTTGTTGACTGTTGGAGCTTTTTAATATGATCTTTATGTTTTTTTTATTTGTTTTTTCATTAGTAATTTGCTGTGACAATAAAAACTTGGAAAAAATGCATCATAAAGTTACTAGCCAAGCTCTAGCCAAAAGTTCACAAGATCTTAAACATTTTTGGTGTTAAATAAACTAAACACAGAGTGTTAATTTGATGAAATGGTAGTTTTCGTACTTGGTGGGAATGTCACCAGAAAAAGCACTCTTTGTGCCCTGGTTAGATGCGCACTAGGTGCGAACTCTATTTTTTTTTTTTTTGACTGAGGGCATAATCGACGTCCAAATGTAAAAAAGAAACGCTCAAAGTAGGAAGAAGGATTTTTGTGCATATGTTAAAATGACCCCTTAGAGTGCAAAACACGTATTTTTAGGGTAACTCATGATTTCAGTTCATTCTATTGATAATGATTTTTTTTAACACTCAAGGAAATGTATGTGCAATCGAGGCAAAAAAATTTAAGGGGGCCTGAAATAACTTACTCAAAGGTGGAGCTACAGATGTTTTATAATCCAGAAAACAAAAAAAAGACATCACATAAGTTGAACACGTAGAATTTATCGTATAATAATAGTAAGCAATTAATTGTATGTACTTAAACATGGAAATCGTACTCACCAAGCTTAGCAAGCCAATTGCACTTCATGTCCCGCAGAGCTTCATTGTACTCATCCCACTTCGTGGTTTTTTCTTTATCATTTTTATTTGTCTGATTTGCTGTTGACTTTTTAGCTGGCTCTGATAATACGAATTTAAATGTGTGTACATCAACTTTTTTACCAATCTCGTCCTTGCAGAAAGTTATTGATCCTTGAAGGTATGAACCCAACGTAGCACCTTTCGAAATTCTTCAAAGAGGGAAATTAAAAAATAAGTCAAAAAATTTTGGTTTAAAAATATTCTATCAAACGAACAAAACGTGTGTGGATGATATGTAGGATGATGCAGATGTATACATACAAAAACTACGTAGCGTCAAATGGTGCCATTGTTTGTTAGTTTAGAAAAAAAAAGTAGTGTCAAAAAATGCTCTAAAACGATTAGGCTACTGCAGAAGCAGCTAGAGAGAAAAGGAAAATATTATAACAAATAAGTAATGTTTGTTGATAGATGATTTTCTGCGAAGCGAGTAGCTGTACTAAAAATCTTATTAAATTAATGTTCCAAACTCACATGTTGTCAGTGCTGTGATGCGAAATAGAAGGTAAAAAAAAAAAAAAATGAATCAGTGTCTTTATCGTCAACTACTAGTAAAAAATAAAATAAATGATAGTTTTAAAAAATGCGTAATTAAGTTACTGCTACTACTTTAGTTTTGTCTCAGCTGGCAAAAATAACATAATTGTGAATCAAGGCTCTCTGAGGACTACGGCTGATAAGAGTGATTTCGTTTTAGATTTAAATTGAGATGATAAATTTGAAAAAAAAAAAAAAAAAAAAAAAAAAAAAACAATGTAAATTCTTGATCTCTGAATACTCACTTGCTTTCGTTGCTCAATGGCGCAATGTATATTGGCAAAGTGTGGCCGGCAGGTATTGTAGCTGAAACTATTTTTTTGCCACCGATGATGGCTTGCGCTTGGCTGGCATAAATATCCAAACTAACTTGCGAGCTCATTTTTTGCGTGAGAAGAACGGGCATTTCGGTCAGCCGATCAAGCAACTCTTTCTTTTCGTGGCGCACTTGCAGCTTCAACGTGTAATCACCTTTCTCGATTTTTGAAAGAGTGTACTGTAACCCATATATAAGTATTAATTACATTGTAAAAAATACTCAAGTGCTTCAAGCAAGGCAGGTCTATAAAACCGTGACTAAGAAAATCATTAAAGTTTCGTAGGTCGACAACTGTACTCACTTTGTGGGGGTAGGCGTCTCCACAGCAGATGAGCTGCTTGTTGCAGTTGTAAATCATCCACATTTGACACTCGTACTCGTTCTCGTACAGCAAATCACTGAGCAAGGCGGCATTGGGCGTTATTTCGGTCGCCTTGGCGATGTGGAATGGGTACGTCAATTGCAGCTCGTAGATTTGCCGGGCGGGTGGAATGACGTCTCGTTCTCGTAGAGGACCGATTTTTGAGTCTACCGGCCTAAGTATCAAAGTAAATATTACACCGATAAAAGAACGATGGCATTGAGAAAAGAGCTGGGAAATAAGATTTCTAGTGATAATGAAAAAGCACCTTAAAACCTGAACAAAGTGCTTGAGAGTAACGTTAGGCACGATTTCTTCGTTTCTCAAGGAACTGCGAAGCTCCAATCGATGGATACCGTCTCCGGATTGCATGGCGAGGCCACCATTGATCATGCGAACACCGTGAAATTCTATGGAGTAATCGACGAGAACGTCTCCTATGTTGGCCCAATATTTGGCAATGGCAACCTCCAATACTAAACCGCCCTGTACCGCAAAACCTTGGACGGTTTCCGATTGCGACGAAATGTTGATCATTTTGTTGACTTCCAGCGTTTGCGTGGATAAACGAGGTTTCACTTGCATTGTATGAATGATAAATCGACCATTCTTATCTTTTTCAGCACTCTTCAGTCTCAACACTGAAAAAAAAAAAAAAAATTTCAAACATTGATTGACTCGTCAGTGGTATTTAAATGACTAAGTGGTTCTCAGTTTACCTCCCCACGTGGCATCATCGGGGACAACGATAAAGTGTCGCTGGATAGTATTAGGTTTGAATAAGACATTTTTGAACGTGAGATCTGGAAGGGATAAATTGTGAGGAACTGTCGCTGGCTGCACCACAGTGATGGGTATGCGAAAAACAGGCCCTTTATCAACGTTTGTAACATCGTAAGCTCGAATACTATATTAATGAAAGAAAAAAAATCGATTCAACAACAAAAATATTGGACTTCAGTCGTATTTAAACAATATTGACGTGCTTACCTTGTGTAATGAACCCCTTCTGGCAGTGAACCAGCGTCAACTCTGATGGCAAAGGCTCTTGACATGTGCATCAAATCAAAGTGAGTTGGGAAATGAACCCAAGTCGCATCGCTTACCAAAGTAAATCTTACATTAAAGTCGATTTTCCGCGAGGCATCTGTAAATTGAATCGACAATTATTTAACAAAGCGTACCCACACACCTGGATGTAATATTGCAAGCGTCTTAAAACATACCAACATTGTCGTTATCCAAAAATGTCGGCTCAATCGTAATGGCGTAATCTTTCGGACGATCGAGTACGCCGTTGCGCAAATGAATGCCTTTGGCATTATTGACGCCGCAATTGATAGAAAATTTAACGTCGCGCTCCGGGCAATCGGCGGTGGCTACGAGGTTTTCAAAGGCCGGCTCGACCTGGAGAAGACCCGAGCCTTGGGCAAACGGGTCGAGGGTATCGACGAAGCGCGCGCTGTTTTCCAGAGCCCGTTTTATACTGTACGGTGAGTACTTGAGGTTTCGTGCAAGTAGACCCGAAATGAGAACAGCTGCAAGTTGCAGAAAGAAAAAAAAAAAAAAAAAAAAAAAAAAGTATTATTTCCATTCACCATTTGTTCAATTGATCAGGAATTTTCTCACCAATGGCACCAGCGACGTGGGGACTAGACATGCTGGTTCCGTTGATTAACTGGCACTTTCTGAGCGTGAAATTCGGCACACTGGTGATAGCACCGCCGGGCGCGCACACGGAAACGCCCTGACCGCCGTCGATCATGGGTCCACGGGAAGACCACGTGAAAGGCATGCCAGGTAATTTTTCTCTCAGCGAGTACTCGGCCACCATCATGTCGGGCGAGACGTAAGCACCGACGCCAATAATACTGTTGGAGTTTATATCAGGAGGCGTGTCTGAAACAAAATAAAATATTTCAAGCTCTCCTCTCTGTTGGGTCCCGGTTGGCGATTATTGGCTTACTGATTGTGCACAAGGCAGGCCCCATGTTTCCGGCAGACGTGACCCACGCCACGCCGTACTTGTCGATCACTTCGTTCATGAGTTCGCCGATCCTACCGGAATTCGCCCAATGCGAGCGCTCCCCGTAGCTCATGTTGATTACGTGTATCCTTTTTTTGTAAGTCATCACCCGAATCATCGCTCTGACGATTGCAGCACCGGTTTCCATCGTACTGATGCGCGCGTCCCCGATGGTCAAGGATATTATCTGCGCGCCTGGTGCGATACCGTTCAACTCCTTGTTGTCGGGGAAATTGGCCGCGGCGATGGAGGCTACGTGAGTACCGTGGGGAGCTGTAAGAACAAATTTGCATTTTGTTTTTCCACAAGAGTATGTGCAGAAAAATTTTCGTATCAATCCAACAAATGACGATTGTTCAATTGAGCATTACTTACAACAAAGACTGACAATTTCCAATGTGTTGCCGTCGTCGTGTACATTTATCGATATATTGAGCTGGTCTTCCACTGTCAAGGGCTTGTATTCCCTTGTGTGGCTGTATTCACCAATAAGTACACCAGATTCCAAATCTCCTTTTTCCGACGTGTCGATGCATGCCCTAGAATAAAGACAATGTAACTCAAATGTGTGTACATATACTTTGCGCTGTCCTGTTGAAATTTGAAAACGCGTCTTAAAAATTTATATTATCAACAGAAAAAAAATTGAACTTACCTCCATACTTGACCATCATTGAAAAGAACACAGTCGTACGTCGGTCCAAGATCTTCATACTTTTTCTCTAAGCTATTTAAGTAATCAACGCGAGCTTCAAGTTCCTCTTTTTCCAACTTTTCCTGCTCTGATGACAGTTGAGGATGTTTTGATTCAAACTCCTGTGGACAAACAAGAACACATTTACCGAGTGACAAGTTGCAGAATCACACTGTTGATCTTGAACTTTCAAAAGTAACTTTTGTTGGCATATCACTAAAGCAGGTCAATGTCTTTACTCAATTAATGGCTAAATATAAATACAGTGTCAGGTGCGGCCAAACGCACGCAATTATGAAACGTGTCCTACATTAAGGTCTTACTTTTCAAGATCACCACCCACTATTTTATAATTTGTGATCAAAAATATCGATGATTCAGTATATTCAAGTAATCAAGTCTTTTTAAAATTACTTCTTATCATTGTGGATGAACTAATCAAATATCCTATCTATAAAAGCGATTTAGGAATCATTAAAACTGTTGCTGCAACGGTCGCTTCTTCAATAAATGAAAAATAAAAAATTCAAGTCTATGCATGAAGAATACAAACTTATCCACCGACAAGCCTTCAGGATCGTTAAAAACTATCAAAGTAAGAAGTTTTTTTTTTTTTTTTTTTTTTTTTTTTTCAATCAATCGACCGACTCACCTGTAATTGTCTCGTGGCCTCGACCAATGAATTTTTATAGCCTTCCTCCCAGAGTTTCTTTTTCCTGGACGGCTCGATTCTTTCACGCAGTTTAGCCGGATACAACTGGTACGCGTTTTTCACTCCGACTCGGAATTCTCCAGAAGGATTGTTCCAGGATCCGGGAATCTAAATGTTTTTTTTCATAAATCGTTTTATATCGAACCAATCGGGGAAAAAAAAAGTTGAAAAGCAACGAACTCACCTTCAATCTTCGACCAGTGAGACCTGTGATGTATCCGTCGATACTCTTGACAACTTTGCTCGTGTCAACATCGCCAAATCCACTGCAGTCGAATCTCTCAATGACTTTGGGTTTTCCGTCGGACGTAACCTTTCGTTCCATACATCAAAATAAGTAAATAATTACAAGGTTGTCAGTGACACATCAAAGCAACGAAAGAAAAACGCAAGAGTCACATAGTCACCTGCAAGCCCGGAGCTCCGGGATCGACTCCAGAGTCGAAGATAGCGATGATGGTGCCCCGACCGTCGTACTCGGGATGCTTGGCCAGGAACTGCGTGACGCCTGTCTCCTTCTTAGGCAGCAAGCCCCAGATCGGGAAATTCAGATCGAGATTCTCCACCATCTTCCTTCAAGCTTTTTTTTCGTCTTTTTCCCTTCAGCTTACAATCAAGGTCCTGTGTATACTACAACCTATATGTGGACACTGCACTTTTCCCCGTGGCCTATCGGCGTAAGTACACAACCAACTGTACAGACTTGATGATAGTATAATATACCTAAACAAAAACCTTGATTCCTGACAACGACAGCAGCCCTCAGGCATACATGCAGGAGCAGGTTAGGGGGATGATGATGACAGAGCAACTCTCTCTTGACGCGAGAGCTTCGGCTTTTGTCCTCTTGTCTCGTCGGCCCGAAACCAATGGATGATGGAATGGACGCTATCTGAGATGTACAACGTGTTAAAGTCGTGTGAGCCTGTGTACGACCCACGACGCACTGACGACGCTGCTTGCTCTCTGTAATTGTGATGATAAGTATACTTATGCTCTCTTCCCTCCCTCTTCTTCAATAAGGTGAGGACTAAAAACTCTCTTTCTCTTTGCTATAAGTACGTATACACACGTATTGTGCAGTAGTTGCGGCCGCCACCCGCTAGCGCGGCTTTTATTTTGATTTTTTCTAATAGGTACTATACTATGGACTTTTATGATTTAATTCTATCAAAACATTGGGCACCCTTTGCTCCATTCCTATTCAATGCGATTAATTAACATCGTAAAGGAATTTCAAATATTAGTATGTTAAAATTTGAAAGAAGAACTTTATAGTCAACAATAAACAAAAGTGTTTGTTACTTGGTATTTGGTCGAGCTCTTTTGTAAGACATTTCGATGGAAATTAACAACTTTGCAACTCAAGGACAAATTAAGTTCTAATTGTTTGTTTGAAAATCAGGTAGGAAGAAAATAAAACAAGTTGACATGATACAATTAATACTTTCACTACTTAGTTTTATAGAAAAAATACAAATTTTATTTGCGAGATCCAGGTACGTAAGTACATTACACGACTTCTTAGAATATAAGTAAAATGTTACACTATACTTATCAAGTGGACTTTTGATTTTTAAAGAATAAAGCTTAGATTATACTATAGACAATTCTGATAAGTTAAAGTCGTTGGACTTGCACCTAACACAGTTGGTGATATCAATCAAATAGCTTGTCTGGAAAATAATATACGCTATTAGAATAAATTTATGCCGACACTAACATTTTTTTTATTGAATGTTACCCACCATTCGATGCATTTGACAGGTATAACGCACCCTGCCAAACATTAAGTGGCCACAAAAATGACACAAGATATGCTGGTATGACCTTTTACAAATGCATACTTTTGATGGTGCCTTGAATCTCGTATGACCACGGTCTACAAGGTGTTGGTTGAAATCATAGTTTTTGACATCTACTGTAATAATAATACAAAAGAAAGAAAAAAAAATTAACTTTTAGATGTGTATTACTATACATAGTACACACTGTCTGCTGAAAGCTGAAATTTCTCAAATGGGCCCTATAATTGCTTCTAGCCCTCAATTGAAAACAATTACCTCATGTGGGAAAACTATGACTTTATCGAAAAAATGAATACTTACCTGCCGTTTTTTCGGTATTTTGATAGTCCATGCTTATACGTGCTCGTTTTGCTTATTATATTAGCAAATACAAATACTCAAATGTACTTAGATATTAGAAATGGCGTTGAAACGCCCAAAAACAGTGCACACTTTTGAGTGAACAAAAAGAGCGAACGTACTTATGTTTACATTTGTATACTTTTGTACTTACTTTTGTGTTCAGCAAGTGCAAGACCGGCCGGTAAACAATGTGAAAAGTAGGTTCGTTCGTAAGCTGAAATTGTGCGACCGCGGTGTCGCGGAGCGACCCAAACGGCTTTGCATTACGACGGACGACCCTTAGGCCGTGATCATTGTACAGGTATACGTATAGGGCGTAGGCAGAAAAGAGCTGCGTATTGCGGATTGCGTCAAAGTTCCCACCATAGACATAAGGAAAATAGACTGCTCGTTCTCATGTACGGCGCTGAAGCACAAGTAGGAGACACAACATCGAACGTTGAAATCTGAGAGAGATAGATACCCACGTTCGATGTTGTGCCTTCTTCTACTTGTGCTTCAGCGCCGTACATAAGAACGAGCAGTCTATTTTCCTTATACCTATATCTATGGTTCCCACGCCTTTTCTCTCGGATTCTCGGTTTCATTCGTGCAGAATAGGCTCCCAAACAGTAACAGGAGCCGTACCATATAACTCTTTCCGCTTCGCGGGCCTATGTTTTAACATAGGCCCGCAAAGCGAAGAAAAGTTGTATGGTACGGACCCAGATCCTATTACGATTCCTTTGAGATACCATGATCCGTGATACAGGTAGTATGTTTGTTACCAGCATCGTGTACTGTACGGTGCCCATATCCAATCGGAAAACCGAGGGTGGTCGAAAATTTAAACTAGCCACCACTCTCACCAGAATTAAGTATTCTTATGACTTGTGGAGATCTAGAATAATTTTGTCATGTTTTATTCTGGTGAAGAGTTATGTGGTCATTGTAGAAGTGTCATGTAATCGATTTTATAAACCAGCCGCAACTTAGACCAACTAGAAAATAAAGAATCGTTAACCACAAGAATCATTACAAGACTCGTGGGGATTCATAATTCTCGTGAGAGTGGCGGCTGGTTTAGATTTTTTACCACCCTCGGGCCTCAGCTTTCGGTCTATAAACCAATATTATATAGTTATAGGCAAATCTGACTACATTGTTGATTATACTGTACGTACTGTATAATATACTGTATATTTGCACTTGTAAGTGAAATGGAAAATGAAAATAATAGTAAAAACACAGAATTAGGATCCGAAAAACACCGACAGTGCCCATAGCTCATGTAAATTTACTTAAAGTGGCGGTTTTCCTAAGCCTCGAGACACTGGAAAAAAGTTGGTTGGACTGTCTGCTCAACTTTACTGTATACAGCGCCCCCAGTGGGTGATGCTCTCGCTCACCCAAGTTAAGTGAACTGCTCACCCAAAGTGGGCGAGTAGTAGCACCAAAAGTCTACTTAACCAAACTCTTGCTTATTGGTGCTGCTGTTCGCCCGCTTTGGGTGAGCAGTTCACCCAACTTGGGTGAGCAGTTCACTTAAATTGGGTGAGCGTCGTGAGCGAGAGCATCACCTACTGGGGGCGCTGTACACAGTAAAGTTGAGCAGACAGTCCAACCAACTTTTTTCCCAGGAGGCTAGCCTATGCTTTGCCTTACCCCCACCCCGACCGTTGTTCGGATCCCAGGACGTGTGAAAGCGAGTGAAAGTTTTTATTAATTCGACATGCGATAACTCTTTGATATTAATACTTTTTGATTTTTAATACTATTGATTTTATAACTATAAGTTAATCTCAATATTCTAATTTCTATATAAGTTAATCTCAATACTCTCATTCAGTTTGGACGGTAATTTATGACTTGCCAAAGCACTGATTTCATTTATTTTAGAGAGCTTCGATGGCTTGTAGTGGTTAGCATGCTAGCCTCCTAGCCAGAGATACTCGAGGGGTTGTGAGTTCGAATCCCGTCGAAAATTATCGAAATTTTTTCTCGGTCTTTTTCGATGGGATGGGTACCCAGGATGCCAGAACACCACTTGTGAGTTTTATAACTAATAGTCGATTTTTCTGGTGCTGTCTGGACTTCCGAAGGCTTCCTATTTAAAGGAAAGCCAACACCTGGCCAGCTCATCGAATAAGGTCATTGTCAGTTATAAAAAGGTCGGTACAGCGACTTTAGATGGTTTATTGGAAAATATCTTTCCATAAAACTTGATAATAGCCAGAGTTATCTCGAGACAATTGCTACGCCTTGTAAATAGTACCCAGTGGGACGAATGACCGAGTTGTTAGAGGGGAACTGTGCAAGGGGCACGTACGAAAGACTCGCACACCGTGCAGTGAGGGAAAAAAAATTGAAAGCAAAAAGGTCTCTGATGTGGCAAAAGCTGAAAAGAGTCCTAGAAATCCACATACTTACCATACCATACCTTATTTATTTCAATTTTTTAATATGCCCTCCTGTCATTTACAATGGCCTAGATTACAAAGTAGCTATAAAGATATACACATTTTTGCTGTTAAAAGTAAATAATCATAGCTACAAATTTTGTTAAAATTTTGAAGAAAAATCGTTTTGAAATGTGATTTTTTTGTTGATGTAACAGACCCTAAAATTATCATCTTTATCATAATGCAAAAACTATGGACTTCATTAGGTATTTTAAAACAAGAAAAACAAATTTTGTGAATTGAAATTTTTTTTGAACTTTGTTTAAAACTTGTTGAATCCCCCAGTTTTTAAGTTATCATCTCAACGATAACACATTTTCTAATGATTGTAACTTAAAAAAAAGAGTTTTAAAACAACTTTTCTTCTTCAAAACTCACGCAAAATTTACAGATATAAACACTTACATTTAATAGCCAAAATTTGCTGGTCTTTATAGCAACTTTATCTTATCTTACTAATATATAAAGCAAAGTCGCTAAAACCGTTGTAACCGCTAACCGCGAAAACTACTGAACCGATTTTGCTGAAATTTTGCACACTGATTCATGATACTTCCTAGATGGTTTTAATATAGTTTTTATCTTAAAAAATGTAATAATAAAAGCAATAAATGAGCTCAAAATTTTGCAAAAATACGCCAGCTTTTCACTTTAGTTCAGTAAAATCCGCTAAGTGGCGTCGACATAAAATCGAGGCTACCTGCAACATAATTAAATAAGTGTGGTTATAATACGCCGGAGCGTCTAGATATCTGATGCAGTCGTACTTCGACAGTTCAACGAGCTGCATAGAGAATGTAGATGGTAGTTTTGCAGCTGGATATCCCGGTTACGGACGACACTATTATCTAAGGGGAAAGGGACCTAGGTGTCCTTTCACCCTGAATCTCGACGAGTGCGATCAAAAAAAAAATTATTCTAACCGATGCCGTCTCTGCCACAATACCAGGAGACATATCTAGCCAGAGCACAATCTGCACCAACTCTTCAGAGTTGTGTGGCAGTCCCACCATCCCACCTGGTGCAGTTAGAGAATTTGTGGCTACAAATGTAAGCAAGGGAAAACAGCTCTGAGGGGCACGGGCAGCCACAACGGCTACCTTCTTGGTCGTCGCGTCCCCAACGCGCTTACCCACATGTTCCCGTCTAACGATGAGCGGTTGGTTATCCGGGGAACGACCCGAGACGAGATATTCTTTGGTCAGCGGCGTACCTCCCTCCATCACAGTCTCCGTACATCGAGACTCCCAGGGTAAGAATCAAGCAACCCGTAGCCAGCTCTTCATCATCAGGAATAATAATAAAGAATAGCCTGGAAGTTTCACCACTGGCGCTTTTTAGGGCCATTATAAGTATTTACGTTCCCTACTTAACCATCAATTTCATCGGTTCTTTTTAGGATCCACCTAAGTGTAAACTACCTTGCCAACAAATACATTTTTATTACCATTTCCGGAAGCGATTCGTCGACTAAAAGACTATATTAACTAAAGACGGGCACTATTAAACCAAGTCAGCCATTTACTAGCAGACGTCACCTGCGGAGTTGTTCTTCGCAAGGCTGGAAAACCCGGTGACCGACGACCCTATACTACCCTCTTGACTCTAAGCATTCAACCAGGAATTATTGATCCCCTCCAAGGTCTGCGCTGGGAAAACCTATAACAGCTATCAAGGAAAAAAAACTTGAGCCAACGGGACAGCCTCCACTGGACAAGTATCACTAACCAATCTCCCCATCTAAGATCACCAAAACAACTGAATCTGCAAATAAAAAAGGTGCTTTAGACACCAACGTCTTCGACGTTATACCGGGAGACGTTGGGAAAGAGCACTACAACTAGCCCCAAAGCTTCGGACTTTGTAATTTTTCTCCCAATCAGTCTGGGTCTTTAACAGCAAGTCAGAGAAGATACCCCTGAGGTATCCAGGTAGTCACAATTGCTGTTAACTGCAGTCAAGAAAGAGTTGACTTAAGAAGCTCACGGTCTTTTTTAGGGCCATCGGATGTCGAACTACCTTGCCAACAAATATATTAGAACTTAAGAAAGTTGACAGAAAACAGCTTTTAGGGGTCACAAAAATTTTAAGCATGCCAAAAGTCGCAAGAGGGTGAATTGGAAGAAAAACTTCAAGTGTATCTAATAAATACAATTTTACTTAGGCGTCAAGAAACTGACGCAGAAAATTTATCGAGATTGAAACAGCAGCGTAAAAATAGACAAATAAAAAATTCCATTACGTGAGAGATCAGCTTTTCATTGTACCCTCACAGCAACCTCTGAAATCTTTAAAGATCCTACTTCAGATTTTTAAATAAGTAGAAAATGTATTTGTGTTTTTGTGGCAATAAAAAATGTAGGGTTCAAGGTCCAGGGCTTTGTTGCTCTGGTAATAAAGTTGTGAGATATGAGAACAAAATTTTTTTTTAACATAAATTTTTTGGGGGTTTAAAATCTTAACAGCTTTAAAAAATAGCCCTTTTCGTGAATAACACGGGTGAAACTGCAAATCAACGGCTCCTTATGGCCACCGATTATTTTATGGCATAAAGAACGCACAGTACTTTTCAGCATAATTATATTTTTTGAATTTTTACACCTCACTATTTAACCAAATAAACTATATGGATTCCGAAAAAATATGTTTTTAATAAGAAGATTTTTGTTCTGAGATGTGTCGGGAACATGTGTAAAAT